TATCCTTCTCAAATAACCAGAAGTTCCACTGCTAAATGGACAATGGGAGACACCAGATGGGCAACAGCACCATGATTTTAAAGTCAGCAGATTCTCCCCTTCATCAAGACGTGGTATATTGGGTCCACGGCTCCTTCCACTCGCAAGGCTGCGTGTCCATAGATGGAGCGATTTCAAGGACTGCGACATGATGGAAGATGTTCCCTATGAGACCAAACTTTAGTTCCCGTGAGCCGAAAAGGCATTGCGCTTGATTTCGGCGCCGCACTGGTATTCAAGTCGCCCCCTGGCGTGCATGACGACCTGTAGCCCATGGCCACCCTCTTTTTCGAAGTTAGGTCAAAACCTAGATTTTTCCTGAAATTTGGCATGTGGGGGTAGATCAGGGTCCTGAACACGATTATGGCATTCGTTTTTGACGTCGGCGCCATTTGGCGCCAGTTTGGCGCTGCGAACTTTTTCTTCCAATTTTTGGTAGAAAACCCATTTGCAAGGGCTACTGACGGTCCTGAATGAGAATATAGCGTTAATTTTGACGCTGAAGCAATTTGGCGTCAATTTGGAGGTGATTATCAAAAATGCAAAAGTTAGCCGCAGGAGCGGACTCGATCCACAAAGTCCGTGCCAACCCCAGTCCACCACGCTATCCACTCGGCCACCTGCTCGCTGCGATGTGAAGGGTGCCGACGACGCCTATGAAACCTCTACACTTTCTTCAGCAGTACCACGTACAGTGCTTCAATTTTGAGCGAATTTCGAGTTGTTTTCGATATTATCTTCATCGGCGCCCTTCAAAATGCAGGTGGTCGTTTGTACAGGTCCGAAACTTCACTCCAAGGCAGCAAAAACCACCCCTTCTTAACGAATTTTTTTCGACCATTTTTTGGCCTTCAGGGGGCCGCTCAGCGAAAACGAAACGCAGTATTGTGGTCTACGTGAGAGTCCCTACAGCATGCAAAAAACCGTTTTGAAAAAGCTTCCCACACCCTGAACGACCTCCCTTGTAAGGCTTATCACATTTATTTACATTCACCATTATTTAGAACCCAGAAAGAATTAGCGGTTCAATGAGTTTGGGCTTTCTTGATAGAAATGAAAGTTATCATTTGATGAAGACTCGACTGAGTCGATTGCTATTAAGTAAGCTGGTCATACAATGAATACAATGTGCACGTACCACTACAAATAGAATTTGTAAGTATGGACGCTCTAGTGTCAACGCAAGCTGCGTAACGGAATTGACGACTTTTGCGTTCTGACGCCCCTTATCAGCCCTTATCAGTTGCAATCACTTTCAATCACCCACCAACAATGTCCCCGTCCCACCCCACATGACACTTGCGAGTATGGACGCTCTAGTGTCAACTGGAGTTACTTGACAGAATTGACGACTTTTGCGTTCTAGCGCATCTTATCAGCCATTATCAGTTGCTATCGCTTCCAATCATGTACCACCAATGTCCCGGGACCGCCCCACATAACACTTGTAAGTATGCTATGAATTCCCGGTCAAACACACACACATCAACAGACACACGCTAGCCGCTTATGTATAGTAGGATACATAGTTCGAAGGGTGGGGTAAAATATGCAGAGGAGGTCTAAAATCTCTTCCTCATACATACACGTTGGCGACCTCGGCATAGTATATTGTGTGTGAAATCTGGCATGCAAACATCCTAGTTACTTGGAAAACAGTCACTATAATTGTTATCAACCAAAGTTATGAACGCTGTCAAAAATCAGTTTCCGGTGGTGACTATTTAAAGTCAATGTACAATTAAGGCGCTTGAATTCTCCAACCTAATTACAGAATCGGAATACGCTCGACAAAAGACAATATACATCCAGAATCTTCTAATCGACGACTGCCAATTTTTTGATATGTGGTGAAAAATCAGAGTGCAGCAGCTGCTACGGCAGGGATCAGTGGGCAAGGGTAAAAGACGCTACGGCTTGAAAACTTTTTGAAGCTTGGGAGGCACAAATGGGTAAACGTCCTTCAGGTGATCCAAAAGGGTGTGTATTCAGGTCATGAAGATTGCGTGGTCGCAATGGGTTCGGCTGAAATCGATTGCGGCACCTATTGTTGAAACAAGCTAGAGTAGGAGACTGTCGCGGGCGTCACGTCGTCTGCGCAATTTAGGCTCGCAATGTTTCTCTGAACATCGCGAAAGAAAGACATGATGTGAAACTATCTTAATTATTCTATTCGAATACAACGCTCAAAGCAAAGCTCTGGCTAGATTTGAAACCTACGAGACTTGCTTCCAGAAGCATATTGAACTTTTCTCAAATGCGGTGAAGGCTAGCAAAAAGGTAAATTGATTTAGAAAATCCAAGTTTTCCTTAAAAGCAGTGTGATCTTAACGTTCACTTCTGTGATAAATCGCCGGTCTGACTTTGTTACGTGCAAACCAAATTTTTTGGCTTCTAGGGATCGTACTTCTCTTCAAAATTGTGAGTACTCAAGTGAATCAAATGACAACTGACCATAACGGGGTTTTATTGGGTAGTACCTTTGAAAACGAGAGCTTTCGAGCTTCCATTTGACTTTTTGCAACAACTTTCTTGACAATTTTTTAGTGGATAAGAGTAGGTATTACATGAAGCGACATAACTTTGATCTTCATAAGCGTGTCGCAAGATACGGGGGCATCCTCTAACAATAAGGCTAAGCCCAAGAGAGGACAGGAACATTAAGAAAATGGAACTGGTATGATTGCACAGCTGGGATTTTCCTTCTATCACCTTTGTAGAGTTTTGACAAAAAATGAGATCTTTACGCAGCTCGAAATGCACTACCATCTCAAGTCGTCCCCGTATCTTGCGATAGCGCCGCATTGAATTTTCTGAAACTAACGATGACAAGACTTCTTCTGACTCTCAATGGGTCAATACCTAACCATTGCTCTTCCCTGTTCGGTCCACAAAGATAAAAATTCTCGTGGAGCAAAGTTTCCGCTGACAAATCAAATGAGGACCATGATGAAAACTTCGGCTATGTAGTGGGCCTTGCATTTCTTCAGGGTTCACTGTCGTGAAGGTTTCTTGGAAGTATATGGTGTCCCATGAACAGTGCACCGCGTTTCACAGCTTGCAACTTCTCCCAAAATGCATTTATCGTGTATAGTGGCACACATTATAACAGACATATTACGTGCTGAAGGGTGACATTTAGTGTAATATGCCTCCCTTCCTGTACCTGTGTCGCTGCGAGGTACGATCCAACGCCTCAACGAACATATACCTTGCATCGCGCGGTTTGCGCAGCGTAAACTCCTTTACTTTTGCACAGAAAAAGGGTCCTCCATTATTTAGATGCTTTTTTAGTTCAGCATAGCACAGCCCACATGGCATGGTTCTGCACGTCGAATTAAGGGATAGCCATAAATTTTAGGATGTGAAATCGGAAAGAGGCATGGCACCTTTTCTAAACAATTTTCTCTTCTGCAAAGGCTATACTCCCTTTGAAGAAGAAACGAGGAGAGCGGGCTGGGTGCAGACTTATATGTTATACTACAGGACGACGGACGGCTCCATAATGTAAATGTTGTTTCTGCAATGAAATGATTAGTCTCTTGCGAGTTGTATTATATTAGTTGTCACCTATTATAAATATCATTTAGCAGAAATCAGCTATCACTATGAACCAGGTTTACTTGGAGGCCGACACTTGTGGTGTACGGTCTATACCCGACGCTCTTCTCGTTTTTTGGAAGGGAAGGTTCATCCTATTGTGAAGAACATCACTCCTTCTCGAAGTGGCTAGATGAGGAATTGAAAATGCAATGCTTTTTTTCCACTATTTCTTCATCTATTCCATTTTCTGTAAGTGAATGCTGTTGAATCGATATCTGAGCTACAAGCCGATTCTCTGACGGGTACTTCACTGAGCAAGCCTGTCAGGTTCCGGAACATATGAAATATTTGAAACTGACGCGGACTCGAAAATATTTATCCATGTATTGTCGTGATACACCACACACGGATGTAACAACAATACTATCGTTTACTTGAAATTGAGAAAATTTCAATCGGAAAAAAAACTGTCTGGAATCAATCACGCCTTCTTCATGCGAGTCGTTGTCATTCGGTAGATGATTGAGTCTTTACTTGGATCCATGCTTCATCATTCCAACAACGGTATACATATACAGCCTGCAACCATTATTGAGTGTGCGTGTAGATTCTTTGGCAAAAGACAAGCCACATTTGATTCGCATAAACAAAAGCGTAATAAGCAGGAACGTGAAAACTCTAATCGTAAGCCAATTTCTAGGGATTCTCGAGGACCAAAATATTAATTTTCGTAATATGCTCTACCCATACTCGCATCATGGCTAAGTTGAATGACTCTAGGGAAGAAAAAAAACGAGAAAGTATTGAGACGTTCAAATGCGCTAAGCAACTTACGTCTGAGATGGAATAATCCTCCCATGAGCAGCTATTGTACTTACATATTCTTAATGCCATATTACGTATAATGGCATGGCCATCTGTTAAGAATGAATGACCTATACTGCGTTGCCTTTCCCACTATTATAAGTTTGCATCCCCAGCAGCGGATGTGCGATGGCGACACGCATTCCCACTCTACTAGGAGAATTTGTCACGAAATTTCACGGCCGTAATAACTTCGTATATTAACAAATACTTGTAATGATGAATGTCTTTCCGTTTTATGAAGTACAGTACTCTATCTCACTCACCAGCACTAAGGCAATGATTAATCCAGCGAAGATAGCAAATATGGCAGGATAGTCAGTCGACGTGAAGACATACACATTTAGTTGTTCACGCCAAGTCTTCAGATTTTTATCGCGTCAGCAATTCAGCCTAGATTAGAAAAGATATGTAACTAGGGATCCAAAGAATCAGGATTGACAAAAAATTTTATTACTCTTTTTCCTTTTATCAGTAATGGTTCTCGTTGGATGGTTTCGACGCGATACTGCTTCTGGAAATGGCCACAACTTCAATCGAAATGGCACTGATTCTCAGTATGCGGTTTTCAATGCTTGCGTGAGCTTAAAAAATATCACATTCTCGGATTATGAGGACTCCTTATTTTCAAAGTCCCAAAAGCAAATATTCGAAGAGTTGATAACTTGAATTCTGTACTATCCCCCTCCCCAAAGGAGTCGAAGTATCCACATATTATTGGGAAAAAACTGCTAGAATTGTTTTCTACCTTCTGAGACTTAACAGCTTTAAAGGCGTCTTTGAAAGGACATAAATAGTTACAGGTACCTTGTTGACTGCGTTCTGCACGTCCTTTACTGCAACCTCACGATCCTCGGCAGTAAGTGTTTTTTCAGCCAAACCACTTATCGTCACTCGGTAGATATCAGCCGCATTAGATTTATCGAATTTTGGACCTTGGGAAGCAATAGCGGCAGCCAGGCGATGAACATGTTCAAGTTCTTGACGCAAAAGTGGCAGTTTCGTCTTGATTATTTCGTCTTTGATCTGAATACACTTTTTGAATAATAAAGCGACGAGCAAATATATGACGCTTCGTCCATCCAACCAAACGGACAAAGAACAAGGAATGGAAGAAAAAGCTGTCACCTCTTGCTTGGCGGCGATCTTTGCGATTTCAGATCCACTGCTACCATCACGGTTTACATTAACAGTCTCGCGATCAACTCCAAATAAATTCGCCAGCTCCTCGTCAAGAGAAGATGGGTCGAATTTGTCCTGAGATTGTCCAAATTCAAAACGCAAAGCTTTCAGGAATTTATAACAGATAAGGTACTTACATTCTCAAGTTGATAGGTTGGGTGACTTTTGCTGTATAAAGAGTCTATTCCGTCAATACGAACGACTGCGATGGCTCGTGGACGCGAAAACAGATCGCTTTTAACATCAAAACCTGAATCAGTATTGAAGAAAAAGGAAAGGTCGTGCTTCAGGTATTTCTGGTATGGCAACACGCATTTTAACTACCCAACCACCGTCTGCGCGGAAGAGAAAATCTTGCAACTTCACACTGCAGCGTGTCACGGCCCCCTTTAATACTGGTAGAAAATCCAACATTTTACTAAATTTGCTGTTATGGAAATGCGACGAAGTGCGGCTAGATCACAACAACCCAGGTAACGAGCCACTGATACTCAGGCAACGCAACCATGTGTCGGTGAGACCATTTTAAAACTTTGCACTGATGTGAGTGGAATGCGTTGAAAGTGCGAAAAGCACCAGTTAGAAGGTTGGCGCACGATGTTGGGCGCGCAGTCAGGAAGTTGGAAGTTGACTGAAAAAGAAGTGCCTCTTCACGCACACTGTGAGTGTGGTTGGCTAGTACCTTGAAGTTAGTTGTTCGCTTTTACAGCGCATAGCTTTTTCGCTGAGGGAAACCCAGACCCTCGCTCATCATGAGTCTCCTAAATTTCCCCAGCGAAAAGGTTTGGTGTTGCAAAACACGAAAAAGTCTCTGTGACCTAGCCATCCACACCCATTATGCAGGCGTAAAAAGTGTCAGCAGCCTGATGCGGCATAGACGAACCGTGACTCCCATCTTACTCGTAAAACAACTTCCCCTTTCCGTGTACATACACGGTGAGATTTCCAAAAGACCTTGCCTTGACACTGCACGTAAATAATACTACCTGTTAAAAAAGTCACATAAAACTCACCTTGAAGCGGTTGTCGAAATCCGAACCGAGATTTTCTTAAGCTCACGTAAATGCTCAGCCGAGCCTCTCCCGTCGACGAGATGGATACGAGTGACTTCTGCAGTGCTACGAATCAAGCATCCCGGGAAGCCGAGCAAAACTGAAATGTCACACATTTTTGCTATGAGCGACATGTCCTCATGAACACAGAAAAATAATTAAAGTAAATGTCATGTTACCTACATAATACTTATGTCTCATCTATCTAAAAATTGTGCTTGCAACCGATAACCCTCTAATAGCAAATAAGATTGCGTCTTTTGTAAAAAAGAAAACATCAGTTTTTCAATCCAGCACTACGAGGGACAACAGTACGTGACGCCCAATAGACCTTAGAAGAGAAGGAAGCTTGGGCGTGGGGATACAAAAGGGAAACGGCTCCTTTGGCCTCTGCCCTTCTTCACCCAGCAGAAAGTATGGTTACAAAAACGTGTACCTGCCCTAAGGTGTAGGTCGCTCTGATACAAACATCTTAGCTCTACAGTGCAAAACTTCTTCCTAGTGAACTTAAGTACACACCAATTAAAAGGAAACTGTGTTCTCAGCGCAATAATCTTTCGTCGCCTAGTATAGCGAAAAAAATCGCCTCTCTGTCCTAGCGAACCACACCCGGTTTACGACCTACTTGAACATCTATGGTTGCCAAGAATGGCAGAGAGCACAGACGATTAGAGAACGGCGCCTGGCTCGGCTCCAAATCCCAAGGAAGGAGGTGAGAGCCCTAGGACTAAGCCTTGTAAGGGGGAGGGACTCCGAGGTGGGTGAGCCAACTACAGTGTGGCAAAAGTTTGAATGTGTGAGATCACAGTGGTCATGAGCCGCTGATAAGGCGAGAGAGCGCAGACGAAAGCGTCGAGTGAGGCAGCTTAAAGGACCGAGTTCAAGAAGTCCATGGGGTGCTATCTTAGTTGGGGGACCACGCGGCGGCGCGGCGCTCTGTTCGTCTGCTCCTCCAAAGGCTTAGTCCCAGGGCAGTTACTATTTCGCCATCACGTGGCAGTTTCGAAATACGCGCCATCGGGACTAAGCCTTGAGGAGGAGACGAACAGAGCGCCGCGCCGCCGCGTGGTCCCCCCCCCCCCAAGCACCGTCCGTCGATCAACCACACTCAGTGCCCCCACCTCCTTCCACCTCATCTTGTGATAGCACATTTTCAACGGAACGGGGACTGCTGAAGAGGGGCATATCTCCCAAAAGCTGCTCTAAGAACAACCCCCGAATGATGAATGATACTAATACAAGAAGAAGCACATCGATAGATTAGAGTAACTTCACTGTTTGTAAAGAAGAAAAATAGGTGGATAACTAGTCCTTCCTCCCATGCCCAATAAGGAAAATAAATCCATAAAAATAAAATACCTGCAACAACCGCAAATACGAGGGCCAGTCCTCTCATCTGAAAAAATATATAAATTAGAAACTTTCCAAACTCGCAGTAAATTACAAATATAGCGGAATCGATGGTTCGCAACCACAGCACAGCCAAAGAGAGACCCAAAACACATCAGTCATCGGGAGCGACCAAGACCAACGCGCGGCCAAAGACCGCAGACCGGGAGACTTGTTATCATACACGACAAGCAACAGCTGAGTAAAATCTGGTGCAATCGAAAAAGCTTCGCCTTGCTCCTTTTCAGAGTTAGTAGAGAAATGGTTTGGCCTCATCCATGAAAGATAGTGCCATTTAATAGAACACGACAATTGGAAAAGGTTCCCATCATCGATCTCTGACCCTGCGCTGTGCAATTGCACACCGCAAGCGATTACAGTACTCTCACGCCTAGTTTGCTATCTGCCGCCCATTTTCGATGTGACTCCCTGTTGGACTGATGGAAACAATGCAACTACAGTGCGTCTCCTAATGATACAGCCACCTAGAAATTGTTCAAAATCTCGAATTCCACAAAGTTTATGGAAAAATGTCCAACAGGAAAACTGTGTCAAATTTGGTCGCGAATTCGAAAATCAATACAAAATTCCAGGTTGAAAATGCGAAAAATTTTTATCCAATTTTTCCAAAAAGCGTCGCTTTTCCATCGTCTCCAAATGATACAGCCACCCCGTGTTTCTTCGTTGCATTTCATTTCTGATCGATGAAACTGATTGGCAGTACTCAATTGTTCTTTCTTAGGTTATCAGGAAAGGAAAGCAACTATTGGACTTTGAAAAAGGGGAAATCGTCACAAAATAAGAAAAATTAAGCGCCAGGTGGTCACATCGCGCGAAAATTTCGTCGAGCTACGGAATGATTAGCAATTTCTTTTTGAATCCTGTAGAAAATGGAACTTAGAAGGGCTCCGGACGTTATTCTTCGCTTTTTGATTAAGATAAATGCAACATTATGAGAACAGCACCAAATTTCACCAAGGCGGGTTCGGAATTGAGTCTTCTTTAGAACTTAATCTCCTACTGGATAGTGCTGGGAATGCAATAAACAACTTCCAAGATCGTTCTCAAGCTGAATATGAAAAGGACGGTGATTTTGAAAAGAAACCGTCGCGAAAACCGAGTCATTTTTGCAGGGGAATTCCGACCAAGCCAACGGAGCAGGATCCATTTTCGGCCTGTTGTGTTTTACTTCTTATCTGCTTTACCTTTGACTTTCTCCTCGCTATTAAAAGCATTACTCCAGGACGGAACCATCTCGAGCGAAACGCGTTAAAAGAGTGGCAGAAAAGAAGTAAAACACAACAGGCCGAAAATGGATCCTGCTCCGGTTGGCTTGGTCGGAATTTTTTTATTCCCTGCAAAAAAGACAAAAAAGACTCGGTTTTCGCGACGGTTTCTTTTCAAAATCACCGTCCTTTTTCATATTCAGCTTGAGAACGATCTTGGAAGTTGTTTATTGCATTCCCAGCACTATCCAGTAGGAGATTAAGTTCTAAAGAAGACTCAATTTCCGAACCCGCCTTGGTGAAATTTGGTGCTGTTCTCATAATGTTGCATTTATCTTAATCAAAAAGCGAAGAATAACGTCCGGAGCCCTTCTAAGTTCCATTTTCTACAGGATTCAAAAAGAAATTGCTAATCATTCCGTAGCTCGACGAAATTTTCGCGCGATGTGACCACCTGGCGCTTAATTTTTCTTATTTTGTGACGATTTCCCCTTTTTCAAAGTCCAATAGTTGCTTTCCTTTCCTGATAACCTAAGAAAGAACAATTGAGTACTGCCAATCAGTTTCATCGATCAGAAATGAAATGCAACGAAGAAACACGGGGTGGCTGTATCATTTGGAGACGATGGAAAAGCGACGCTTTTTGGAAAAATTGGAATAAAATTTTTTCGCATTTTCAACCTGGAATTTGTATTGATTTTCGAATTCGCGACCAAATTTGACACAGTTTTCCTGTTGGACATTTTTCCATAAACTTTGTGGAATTCGAGATTTTCAACAATTTCTAGGTGGCTGTATCATTGGGAGACGCACTGTAGTTGCATTGTTTCCATCAGTCCAACAGGGAGTCACATCTCGAAAATGGGCGGCAGATAGCAAACTAGGCGTGAGAGTACTGTAATCGCTTGCGGTGTGCAATTGCACAGCGCAGGGTCAGGGGCCGTATGCTATGCTCCCCCAACAAGGGAGGGGCCCCCTATTGGGGGAGCTCCCCGGCTGCGGCCGCCCCGAAAGCGGTCGTATGCTATGCTCGCGGGGCTCCCCAGGGGATGCAGACATGCAGAGTATCCATGGCGCGAAGAACTTGGCATCTTGCCAGACATTAGTTTTAGGCTTGGAAAGCTACTAATTATAAAGTTTTACGGTGCATATGCAGGATAGGATACTCAGGATCGAAGATTAGCAATGTTACCTCGAAAGTTAGTTAGCCAATACAATACGGCACTTTCGCGTATATATTCTAACGTACATGGTTAAGAGATCGATGTACAAGGGTGACAGGGTCATGGGATAACAGAGGGAGGGACAGGAATGAAAGTTGAGGAGAAAATAGAATTCTTTGGTGTCCACTATATTATGACTATGATCAGCATTGTCTTCCATAGAGCATCTGAAGCGTTTTAGTAATGCTCTGATTGACATATATCGTTCCGAGAATGTTTAAGGAGTTAATCAGCCACCTCATTTCACTCTCCAAGTTGGTAATGATCCGAAGAAGATCATTCTATACATCATTCTATAAAATGTATTAGATTAGCCAGAGATTTATCTTGAAGAATTCGAAACCTTGCTGTGGTCAGAATAAAAGCAGATAATCTTCTAACAATCTAATTTTGCGATGAACTTCAAACAAAGATTTCTCCCGCTGCTGATTGCTTCATTCAGGAGCAAGGTACTTCCTTGTATTAAATATAGGTATGATTCTTACTTGCTTCCTGCAAGCATTACGAACATGTTCCGCAAAAGAAATCCAATGGAAACGCTTCAACAAATTAGAGATCTAACTCGAAACTGAAACGAGTATTAGAGGAGGAGAAGGGCCTAACTCATGATTGGAGTCAGTTTGTACATAAATTAGTCCTTCAATCTCCCCAACTGTGGACGCCAGCTGCAATGGAACATTTATTGTATTGTACTTGTTCCTTTTATCGCATATTTAAGCCTGCACACAGTATCTCAATTCAAGGTTAACATTTTTTAGTGAACTCATCCTGTATTTGGTAGAATCCGCGGTCTCATCCTTCCAGTTTCCCTTTCTAGTAAGTCAAATGGCTTCGATAGCCAATATTTTTCCAGGTGAAAAAATCTCTGGTTCTATCTTCGATAAAATATAATTAATTGATCGATAGAAAACAGCTACACAGGCTGCCTCCAACTAAACGGTAATTAGTGTCACGTAATGTAATAGCTCACAATCTCAAGTACGAAGCTTAAAAATCTGCAAAATGTAAAAAATATAACATAGCATCCAAATCTTTGTTTAAGATGCTATAAATAACAAACATGGTATCGAACGTGACCCGGCCCCGGGGCGGCGGCCGGGGCCCGCGCCAAATCATTTGAAATAAGTTATGGTGGGGATTTGATCAAGGGTGTCCCAACTCTAAACCTTATTCTGCACATCATATTTGTAGTGATGTACTCACAAATGAGCAATTCTTAAAACTGCAGTACGCAACCCATACAAGAATTGTGCGCGCGACAGTCAATTATGCGTACGGCGGCTACGAAATTACGGTATCCCCGGCTTAGCCCCGATCGGCAGGCGATAGGGGAGATATCCCCGGCTATCGGTGGGCGTGGCCACTCCCCGAGAACTGTCGGGGGAGCATAGCATACCGGGACGGGGACCCCTGTTGGGAGGCATGCAATTACGGCCGCCATCAGAGATCGATGATGGGAACCTTTTCCAATTGTCGTGTTCTATTAAATGGCACTATCTTTCATGGATGAGGCCAAACCATTTCTCTACTAACTCTGAAAAGGAGCAAGGCGAAGCTTTTTCGATTGCACCAGATTTTACTCAGCTGTTGCTTGTCGTGTATGATAACAAGTCTCAGAGACAGTCAGGTGGAACTCGGGTTGGGGGAGTCACGCAGCTGCGCGGCGCTCCGCTTCTGCACCTCTAGCCAAGGCTTAGTCAGGGGGATTGTAACTGTAACACTTCGCCGCACTATGGCAGTTTCTCAAGAACAGTGCCACCACAAACTAAGCCTTACCTTAGAAAAACACCGCGGTGACATTAAAAGGGTCCAACATAACCCTAAGTCTCTAGTCACCCGCAACAGCTTGGTGCATCGGCCTAAATAAGCCAATCTCCCGTGTCAAAGCGTCGCAACTTTGAGGCCTGGAGCAGGGTCAAGCGAGGCGTCGAGGAAAATTTGGAAATACGACCCCCCCCCCTCCCCAGAGGCCGAAGTCCATGAAACGACCCTCTTCAAAAGCCGAACTATGAAAAGGTTGTTTAATTCTCCCCCAAAACTGTTCATAAAAAAGCCCTGCTACCCCACCCTCCACCAAAAAAGTCGTTCAAGAAGTACAAAAGTAGAACAAGTCAAAGAATGATCATTATTAATGAGTCCTACCAACAAAAGGAGCAAAAACGACGAACTAGTCATAAAAAAGGCAGACTATGGCAGCATCCCTTCTTCTTTTACTTCCTTTGGAAGGCACTAATCGGACTGCTCCCCGAAATCGAAGCAGCGTAAGATCAATGGACCATGGAACCGAAGGAAAGGGTCGCGATAAATCTCCTAGAAACAACTAGGAGCAGTGACACCTTATCAACGGCGGGCTTAAGCGTTGGTGAATCTTCGAACTTCTGAAATTTGTGACGACCTTCGCTTCGGACGTGGAAGGAGTGGCAACAAGTGCGTTGACGAGTAAAGCTTATTGTCATCGTCTCGATAGCCTTGTCCCATCTCGCCCCGCCTCCAAGTCTTGGGGACGAGGACGTTGCCCCAAACCATATTCTCGTGATACTAACTTCTACTAAAAATGT